CCACATGATCCATAGATCCAGATCTCCACTAATGAAGAGTTAAGGACTCCCCCTATTAGAGGCGCATTACCTAATCCGGTAATCCTGTTGCAGAGCCCATGGGAATTCGGGCCCATAAATGTCAGTATAAATAGCTCATGTCACGAGGTAACTGTTGGGATTCATCCCAAGTCCCACATCGGTAAAATGAAGGAACATTGGCTAGTTTATAAGTGTCCACCATTCCACATAGTAAGAGGCCTTTTGGGAAGGAGCCCAAAAACAAAACCGTGCGGGCTTGGGCCCAAAGCGGACAATATCATACTATGATGGTGGAACAGGTGGACTATCGGGCCCTACAAGTGGTATCAGAGCCAACGGTTCGTCTGGGTTTGATGCGGGAAGACCCTCAGTGTTGTGCCTCGCGATGGAGATTCGAACTTGGTGCCTTGTGTCGAAAGTCTTCCTGATATTGTGGTGTTCAGGCGGCGTGTCCCGTAGAGTTAACGGCGGTACAAGATGGTGACGGATTATCGCTTGAGGGGAGGAGATCACGAGACATGTGGTCCTTGGTCTGAGGGGAGGTTTGTTGGGATTCATCCCAAGTCCCACATCGGTAAAATGAAGGAACATTGGCTAGTTTATAAGTGTCCACCATTCCACATAGTAAGAGGCCTTTTGGGAAGGAGCCCAAAAACAAAACCGTGCGGGCTTGGGCCCAAAGCGGACAATATCATACTATGATGGTGGAACAGGTGGACTATCGGGCCCTACAGTAACGTCACTGTTCATTAATTACTATCGATATTTGTGTTTTGTCCTGACTTGAGTGTCGGAGTGCCTTTTGCAGGTACCTCCCCCCTCACCGGAATATTCGATCGGAACTCTCGTTCGGTCCACCAAATACGAGAAGATTATTAGTGTGCCTTTCAGACAGGTACAGTTCCAATGAAAGGACTGTGACATTTCTTACTTAATTTTGATGATAAATAAATTAAAGGTGAAAAGAATTTGAATTTGATTTTATTTAAAGTTGATTATGTGCCTGTGACGGTGTTGCAGTTGTTGCATTTTTGTCCTTTTGACTTATTATTTTCTCTTGGGAGTTTATTCTTTATGCAAGCACATTTTATGTACAACAGCATGTCCGGTTTTTCTGTTTTTTTAACCTTTATGGATAAAAAGTGGTTAATTTGTCAGCAGCAATTTGTGGGGCACTCTATTAAACACAATCCCTTTAATTTCTGAAACACTTTGATTGGATAGCTGGCTAGATTTGGAACCTTTCTGATTAGTCTCATTAATAATTCTAGAGTGTTATTTGTTTTCCAAAATGCTAAACTCTAAATATGTCCTTTTAATCAATTCCAAGACCATGTAAGTCATCCTTTAACAATGGTCGAGAAACATCTGTGATTCTGGATCAATAATTTTCCCTTTCCTTTCCATTTTTCACCCACTATTATTAGTTCCTTTTGTTTTTCTTTTTGGGTTGCTTACTAGTTTGTTAATAAAAGCTAAAGATAAAGTTAACTATTACATAATTAGTTTAAGTACTTGATTAATTTTTTAAAATTTAATTTATATGTATTATCAGATCTTATAAATTTTTCTCACACAAATAATGAGGACAAAGGTAAATTTTTGTGGGTGCTGTTGATAAAAGCTAATAAAAGCTGACCACTAAAAAATTAATTTACCTATTTTTTAATTTAATTTATATCCATAATTAATTATCAAAAAAAAATTTATAGACATTAAAAGAAAATAGGTATACCCTTCGAGATGAAAAAAAAAACTGTACAAATAGGGGAGAAAACAATGAAAATGTACAGGAATGATCATTTAAATTGTTAGGAAAAAAAATATAAATGATTTGAAAAATAGATTAAAAAAATAGTTATGAAATAATCTCTCAACTATTAAGAGGCATTAATCTACTAATAGAATAAATATTTTGATAAAATTATTTCTTGTTTAAACATGATAGAATCATTATGAATAGTAATTTCTTTTTCCAAATATTTATTACTAGTTGAAATAATCATGTATTAATTGATTCATGTACTAGTCAACCATAAAATTATTATTTTTGGATAACTCTTTTAGAAACATTATATTTTATTAATATAATTTTTAAAATTTTAATATTAACTCGTGCATACGAAAATTTAAATAATTGAACATAGTGATTGTATAATTTTATAATTAATATCTATTTATATTTAAAAGAATATTTTTTGATGTTATTTTAAAAATATTTTATATGTTAAATTGAATTTATTTTATAAAATATAAAATAAATTAATTTTATATAAAAAACTTATTTATTAAATAAATATTTATAATTTAACGATTAAATTAATGAAATTTAGTGTACACAGAATTACTAAATTGAATAAATTCACCAAAAATTACTCATAAAATATTTATGTTGATCTATATTTCTTATTTTTTTTATAATTATATTATTGATATAATTTATTTACTGATATCACTAATAATTAACTATGTTGTACGGATACGACATGAGACTATTGTGTCTTCGAGTCTGACACTCTTTAGGAGTAGATATATTGTGGACGCATTTTGGACACTTCAACAGACCGTATACATACAAATTGGACACGTCTCCATCACGGACAGTTACAAAATGTACTATTTGATACGTGGATTTTAGTTTTTTTTAAAAGAAGAATAAATTTCAATAAAAGTAGGAAGAAAAAAAGGAATGATTTAAGATTTTTTTTAAAAATAAAAATAAACTCCAATAAAAGCATAGACAAAAAAGGAGAATTCGAGTTTTTTTATAAAGAAAATAAAAAAATATCGATAAAAATAAAAGTAAAGAAGTAAGATTTGAGATTTAAAAAAAATTGATAAAAATAGAAATAATGAAGAAAATTATTTTTATCTCTCCTTACTTAATTTTCACGTAATAGAAAAAGAAAAAAAATTAATAAAATTAAAAAAATAAAGAGAGGATTTGAGATTTAAAAATAAAATTATGAATATGATATCTCTTAATAATTTTTTTTAAGACTTAATAGGTTATTGTTGTATTAATATATAATATTTTTGTCATGTTATTTATATTATATATTATATATATTTTGTCCATGTGTCTTATGTTTTTTTGATTTTGTCATATCTTTATATTTGTGTCTATATCGTATTTCAATATCGTGTCTAAATCTGTATTACATAAATCATCTCTATCAGAGAATTTAGTTAGTCTTTTTTTTATATGATCTCTCATTAGTATCACACTTTTTCTGTACTCCACTATTCCTTGTTTATAATTTTTTTCATCTCAAATACATATAAGTAACAAAAGTCATGAAATATCAATCTCATTTCATTCATTCATTCATAAGTTGGTGTGTAAAATACTTACGGTAGTTTGAAAATAAAAATAAAAAAATTGAAAAGGCAAAGATGCAATGGATGATAATACTTGACTATTTTCTATTTGAGAATTGAGAAGATATGTTATTTAAATATGTAAGCTGGTGTCTATAAAGACCTTGTCAGCAGAAAATTGACTATACAAGAGAGAGGGTGTATTGTGGTAAAGGTAGAAAAACTATAGGCACGTATGAAGCAAAATATATATATGGTGTAGAAAAATATGACCAAAATAATAAATTAATTCCATGGATAAAAGAAAAAAAAATTGTGAAAGGGATTTGGAAGTGCATGTGAACTAGTCTAGAGTTGGTTTTGGTGATTTGGGTAGTAGACAAGCACCTTAGACTTAGTCAAAGCACTTCATTAACCTAAAACCCATTACAGATAGTGTGTGTAAGTGTATCATACTTCACTTTCCAATGAAAACCACATCCCACATGATGTTGCCATGGGAAATTGAAAGATCACAAACTCCCCTCAAAAGATATCTTCACCAATTTACCCTTCTCCCATTTCATTTCACTCCAAGCATATATGTTCTCTCTCTCATTGACCCCACACCACCTAAACATGGTGTAAATATTCATTATTGGCCGACAAGTGTCAAACTTTGATTGATACACGCACATCCAGTTATGGCCCCATCCAAAGGTTCGAAGCTTTAGCTTGCTAATCAGTCCCCATCATTCAGTGTGCCATGTGTCCACGCATCTGAGTATACCAACCTTCTATTCCTAACCTGATACTATTCAATTCACAATAGGAAAGAAAAGAAAATAAAGGGTACTGTGTGGGTGGGCGAGCTGAGTAAGAGTGAGTGAGGGACCCTAAATAATGGATCAAAAGCCAAACTACAGAGTGTTGTGCAATTATTCATTCACACCATCAATTTCATCCCGCAGCTACCTAGCTTGCAAAAAAGAAAAAAAAACAAATAATATTCCCCCATCCATTCAATAGTGGACAAAAATAGAACATTTAAAATTAACAAACACGACTTTTTTAATCATATTAATTAATAATTATTTTAACAAAAATGTTCATTTTTTAATTCTTTAACAATAAAAATGCTTACTTAAGGGGTTTGTTAGTTTAAGGAGTAAGAACAACACGTTTTTAGACAATTATTTTCTGAAACAATTAAAAATTACTAAAATGTATAAAATTATTAGTGAGATACATTACTTAGATAAGGAAAAAAAAATTCATAATATCTTATAATTTATTTTTATAAATGTGTTCAAAATGGATTTTTTTTAACAAGAATCACAACATACCCTCAATAATAATTATAAAAAAAATCATCACTAAGAATTTGAAAAGTTATCCAATACCAAAGACTTGAAAATGAAAGCTATTCTTAAAACGAAACAATTTATTATTAATTAATCTATGAGCTCAATAATTATAAAAGTAATTAATTTTTATTGAAAAACTTAATAAGTAAATATTTCATATCAATCACATTTTTCTCTAACCACAAAATCCAAACATAAGATTTTGTTAAAGAAGATTTAATCTGATTTGTGAGTTGTGACGTAACATATGTTTTTTGTTTTGGCAAGAATAAGAAATTATATAAAAAGAATGGGATTTGAAGCTAAATTGTCATTGAATTTGAAATATGGTAATAGGAGGTAAGATTGTTTAGAAAAGCATGTGTGTGAGTGTGATTGAGTTATTAATATTTATGCTTTGGGTTAAAACTTAAAAGGAAGAAAAGGAAGGTGTGTGTGAGTGTTGTGAGTTGTGAGATAGGAAGAGAAGAAAGGAGGCATGAGAAAGAGCATCCGTTGTTGCATATCGTGCATTCTGCCATGCGGGGCACTGGACGTAATCCGCATAGTGCACTCGAACGGGCGCGTGGAGGAACTGAGCGGAAGCATCAAAGCCAGCGACATCATGAAGGCGCACCCCAAACACGTCCTTAAGAAGCCTTCCTCCCCCTCCGCCCAAGACGGCGGCGTCGTTCCCAAGATCGTTGTCGTCCCCCCCGACGCCCAGCTCCAGCGCGGCAAGATTTACTTCCTCATGCCCCTCCCCTCCCCCTCCCGCTCCCACAAGCTTAAGAACAAACGCAAGGACCACCGCTCCGACAACCACCTCGCCAATGAACGCTACTTGACTCATATACTCTCCGAGAATCTCTCTCTCTCTACTCACACAGACAAAAGACCACCTCGTCTCGCTGTCTGGAGACCTCACTTGGACACCATTTCTGAGTCTCCACCTCATCTGTAACGCTCTTTCTCCATCTTCCCATTTTTTTCATTTCTCTTTTATATATATATACCTTCTCTTCCTATATATCTAATATATATTATTTCCTTCATTAGCAAATCATTCTCTATATAAAATTCTTCATGTTATAAATGATTTTTAAGAGTTTTGCTATCCAAACTCACTCATATTCTACTTAGATTCTTATAAATAGAGGTAAATATGTGCTTTTCATGATAATTGTTCCTTGGGGTTCAACAAGAGTTGGGCTTCGTTTGAATATATATATCGACATGGTCTTGGAATCAATTTTGTTGATTACCAATTTATTAGCTTTCGTTATGAGGGGGTGTGTTTGGTGTTTAGTTGGTGGGGTGCCAGCATGACTGATCCAAGGGTGTTATCATTTTGTAATTTTCAGGGAGGGATGAGCAGGAGCTTAATTTGTAAAGGTTTCAGTATTTGTTTTGCTTTTTAATTTTTTATGAATTAAGCTTGGAGTTGGAAGTGGACATCGAAAAGTGAACACAGCAAGTGTAGTATGATTGAAACACAGGAGAAAAGGATCCCACTTCTGTTGTGTCTGGTTTTCGGGGCATTCGTCGTTCTGTATTCGAAGCTGATTGAGACGTATGCTCGAATTTATGCCATTGCTACAAACGGAGTAATCTATTCACGTTTATTCCCCTCTTTCACATTGGAAAAAAAAAATGTAGTGTTCAACATTGCTAGCCAGAGGGTGACATAATGCTTGCATCACCCTTTATACATATAATAGGTGTAGTTCTAATCATAAAATGATAATAATACAAATAAATTCAAGTAGATAGCTTTTCACATATATTTTATTTTTCAAGAGGAAAAAAATGTTTTGGGCCCCCCAATTGAGGGAGGACAGATTCATCGTTGTCTAAGAAGTGTAAAGCCACGGTGTACTTGCCCACAAACTAAGGGTAAAAAAATGAAAAAGAAAAACATAGGTTGGATCATGAAAAGACCAAAGGATGACTTTGCGGTTGAAAGTAGCCACTGTGACAGTGTGCTTTCCACCAAAATTCTAATATCAAATGATGCGTTGGTAATTAGTGGGGGGTATGATATGATATGATATATATATAAATATAATATAGCATTTTGTTGCGAGGTTAGTGGCGGTGGCATCCTGTAAAGGTGATTATTACACGGTGGAGTCTTGACCTAGTGGAGATCATTGAGCCTTGAGAGAAGCTCGTGTTCTGTTCTGGTTCTGATTCTGATTTTAGATTCTTCTCTGTGATCCGAACGCATATATGCGGTTTTTAGTTTTTACTCGGAAGCCAGCCCCACCATCACAAAAAAGTTGGCAGAGTGCTTCATATGCAACAATGAATGAATCATTGAAATGTGATGGTCTCATGGGATGTCAGTGTTATGAGTGGATCAGGTGAACTCACTAACCTCCTTGTCTGAATCTTCTCTCACTCTCCCTTGCTTCATTTCACCAACATAATTAAACCATTATTTTCATCTTCTGTGTCAATTGTTACCACGAATACTTTTGTTTTAGATTGTGTATCATTGCATCGTGACGGTTAATTGTGCTTTTGCAAAGGAGTCAAGTGTGTAGTGAACAATAATGACATGGGAACAAAGAAATCAGATTGAAGCCATCACTCGTTGATTTTCAAAAGCAACCCCACCTTGTCACTCTGCATCTATGTATATCTAGACTCTAGAGATAGAATTGGTCTCTGTATATATAGGATTTGATAGGGTATTAATTGAAGCTAACCCTACCATTTTTCTCTAGGACGAGACCTCTCACTCTCGTTAGCGACATTCTACAAGACTATAACTGCGTTAAAAATGAGGGAGAAAAATATTTTTTTTCCTATTTGGTGTATTGGAAGTAGAATGGAAAATAGAAGACTACCATAGTGTTAAAAGAGAGTGAGATTAACATCATTCTTTATCATAAATTAGAGTAAATCTTGATCCTCAATTAAAAAAATTATAAGTAATAAATTATGTTATTGACTTTCAATATTTTTTATTATTTTTAAAATTGTCACTCAATGTGATATTTATAGTACTAAATACATTGTAGTTAATATTCATACATAACATAAAAAAATAAATTGATAACGATTATGATAATAATGGTGGATATTCATCATATTAATAATATTTTACTTATTATAAATAAAATAATAATAATTAATTTGATGAGTTGGTATAGTGATTATGTTGTGTATATTCTTTATGTTATGGAGATTATTCATTTAATGGAGGATTTCGTGATTGATTTTTATCATGTGTGAAAATCTCTCATGTTATTGAATTCTTCTATAAATAGATGTTTTAATAATGACAATTTCTTAGTTCTATTTTCTTATCATAGAAATGTGTTCTTAAAGAGTACTAATAATTTTGCTTGAGTGTTTTAGTTTTAATTTGTTATGTACTCAAAAATATTATAAGTGTTTCGGTTCAAAAGAACTCTTAGAGGCATAATCATGTTTTTAAGCTGATGGAAAACACCTTGGTCATAACTATCTATGTGTGCACAAGTATGATGTTTTAAGGAGATTCAAGTTGGACATCTTCTTTTAGGGAAGATACCTTGAAGTGTCGTGTATATTAGTCTATCTAGTATAGCCTCCCAAGCAACAATTCTCAATTCAAACTTAGCTTCTAAAAAAAATTGGTATTGAAGACTCTATTCAAAAGGTTACTCAAAAGGAAGCTTCAAAAGCAATAACTCTTAGTTCAAACTTAGCTTCTTAGAAGATTGATATTGAAGATTCAGTTCAAAAGGTTACTTATAAGCACACTTAAAAGGAACCTTTAGAAATAAACTGCTTTTGAAGGACATATTGATATTAACCAAAATAAAAATACAAGATGACATCAACATTACTTATTAAAAGTCAAGCCAAATCCTACAAGCCTGTTTTGGAGTTTAAAAAGAAAGACCAAGGGGACTATTTAAAGTAAGCAAGAAAAATTCTTACTTTATACTCTTTTTAGATATCTCATCTTCTATATTTGTAAACATACTTGTAATAGAAAAAGAAATGAAAATACTTCTTTAGTGAAAGCTCCTAATCAAGGAGAGAGTACTAGAATCTTAGCAGTTGCTAGGATTTAAAACTTGAAACTGTATTAGCCTGTCCTACTCAAATTTAGTGTTCAAAGGGTTAGGAAGGTGGGAAAAGTTATCAACTAGTTGGTTGAGGTTACACATAATATGAGGCTATGAGGGTGAGGTTTTCGACAGGTGTTAAGGGAGTTATTTAGTAGGTAGCTAAGGTTTATATACAAACACTAGGCAGTTGGTTTGTGTAGGAAAAATCTAGCAGATGGTTGGTGTTTGTAATCAGAGCAATTATTGCTTATCATAGTGGAAAAATCTCACAATGTATGAGGTTTGGATTTAGCCTAAAGTTGGATGAATCAAGATAAATCTCTATTTGCAATTTCTCTCACCCTATCTCCTTTACTTACTTTAACGGTTTATTATTGTTTACAATTTTGGTACATATTTATCTATTGTGGATATCATAAGTTGATTAACTTATCAAAGAAGGAATTTATTTTTATACCACCATAAGCATAAGCTTATGAAGGATTGTTTTTATAAGAAATCATTCAAAAGCAGAACAAGTCTTTTAAAACTATCAAAAACATCAACTTCTAATTATCAAAATTTCATAAAGACTTAAATTTTAAGAAATCCACTATACAACCCCTTTATTGATAGCTAACATTTACTTCACATGTCATCAATAATCACAATATCACAAGTAAAATTTATTTGTCTTAATAAGTTGAGACACTCATGGTAAAAAAAATAACACTTTTAATTTTAAACAAGTCAAATAATTTATTTTATGATATCCAATTAAAGGGATGAATCTTCTAAGTTGAGATCTTCATTTAATTTTTTATTAATTAAAAGGTCATTTCATTATTTTATTGATTAGATGTTTTAAATCTTTTATCGTATTTAATTAACATAATTTACATGTAATTTCAAAATTATAGTGGTGAAATATTACTTATATTTAATTATTTTTATAATAATATAAAATTAATGAAAACTTTAAGTGATACACATCAACTACTTTTACGAACACAATTTTGTTTTAGGATTTGTTAATATATTAATATTAAATACTCGTGACAAATTACTATAAACACAAATGCTTAACATATAGCGGTACATAATTTGTCCCTAGCATTAAAAATTAATTTATCACTAATATGATGCAATACTTTTGAAGAAAAAAAAAAGACAAGTTGAATATGTTTTTTCAACAAATTGTTTAATTATTATATTAAATGTAATGGAAAGTAAAATTGATAAAATATTAAAGACAAAAGGATAAATGTACAGGCCCTTTATGCTCCATCTTGAATCTTGATATCCAGTTGGGAAAACATGAAAGTGTGCAACGATATCATCGAGCAAACGGCGCCTCGCACTTGTGCATAATTAAGGTGGAAGTTACAAAATCTCCGTCCCCACCTATCACTTCGATTCGTTTCAAAATATTATATAACGATGAAAAAAGCTATGGTATACAGTAGAATATTATTATTATAGTATTTTGTGGAAAATTTCATGTCTCCATGTTGAAAATGTATAACATATTTTATAAGGTGCTTATACATATATTAATACACACCTTTAATTATGGCCTTCAAGCTGTTGGAGATATGGTAAGCGTTAGGCGGACCATAGCCCACACTTGTCTCGCACAAGTGCCTCACAGTTCAAATGTTGCCTTGCCGCAACTTTATTTGTATGCCACAAATATATTATGATATTAATATATATGTCGGGAATTTAGGTATTCATTCTCTATGAAAAACCACATTTAATAAGTTTTATTTAAAATTTAATGAAGTCGCTGAGGCTCCTAGGCACACCTCTTTATGATCTTTTCAAGCATATTCAATGTTTCAAATTTAATGCATTAGCATTGGAATTATTCGGTAGTTTTATTTATCTTTTAGTGAAGTTCAACATCTCACCTTATCTACTTATGTATTAATGTATGTTTGGATAAAAGTTGACTATAATTCAACTCATTTTCACTTTAAATTAATAATTTTGTTATTTTTATATTTTAAATAACTTCACATTTTAAGAAATAAAAACACACATTCCAATATTTTTAAATAGAGAACTAAATATATTCTTAATTTAACACCAATCTAATGAAATTATTCTTTTTATGGGCCATCTGAAACTTAACTATGATGGGTAATCATTAGAGGAAGTGAAGCTTCTTGAAGTAGAGTGATTTGTGATGACTTTGGGAGATTTATAGTTGGTTAACTTGTTGCTTGGAACGTTGTTTGATTATTCAAATGAAACTCTAGGCCATTCTTCATGGTTTATGACTAGTCCAAGATAAAAAGTTTGACGAAAGGATTTTGATTGAATCTGACTCGTCTTTAGCTATGAAACTCACTACTAAAGGTTGTCTTAGATCACATCTTTGTTTTAATATTGTTAAATAAATAGCAGAATTGATCCAGTAGGAGCACATTTCATCTCGTAATCATATTCTTCAGGAAGTTAACCGTGTTGCGAACTCTTTAACTAAGTTTAAGTTGTCTATAGGAGAAGAGTTGAAGGTTTTTTATTTTCCTTCTAACTCTATTCAAGTTATATTACTTGTTGAGAAGTCTACTTCTTCTTTTATTAGATGATTGTAATTAAAGCTTTTACATGGAATAGATCAGGACTTGTGGCTTGTTTTCTTTTGGGTGGCCAACTCGACCTAATATATTTTTGACGAGTTAATGACTGGTCAGGCTTAAACAGGTCAATTTGGTCCATTTTGTCATCTCTAAAAGGAAGTATAAGTATTGACTTTTGCACTACTCTACTTTCTCAAAGTACACATAATCTTTGGTTATATTTTTTTTTTATCTATGTATTACAAATTTACTATAATTAATTAGACTAGTCATTTATATATCCTTAATTTTCTAAAATAATTTAATTATAAAATTATCTTTCCTTTGAACGAAAAATAAAATAAGTAAGTTGAACAAAAGAAAATTACTATACAATGTTCAATTATATATATATATATAT